TGGCTACTCTAAGCAGACAGGTACATGTAAACCTTCAATGACTCCTGAATATTTCTGCCAGGCCTGCCGCCCTGTAAAGACAGCCCAGAATTTTGAGGTGTTGCATAATTTCCTTTGTCCCCAGTGAATGCAAGTGGCATCTTTTCAAACGCGGCTGGATTAGCATGCAGCGGCGCTGTGTGGCTCATCAATGGGGCCCTGGAGCACTTTTGTTCGCAGTGCTAATCCACGGGTGCGCTATGCCAAACTGTTTAAAAACTGTGAGGGATTACCAGTACCTTCGAAAAATGCCAGCCCAAAAATAATGGCAATTCCAAGCAGCAGGTCTTTTGTTCCGAGTACGGTCTTTTGTTACACGGACCAGCTCTTTTGTCCCATTTCGGGCACCCCAGCTCTGCGTATAAAACCCATGGTGCTCAAAACGGGGTTCCTCAGCAGCAACAGGTTAAAAGAAAGGTTATCCGTGATTCCAGTGAACTCGACTAAAGTGAACGCGAGGGATTTCCCAGGTTCTCTATTAGACCCACAACCTCCAGTGTACTGCAGACTGTGTGTCCATGGGGTCTGAATGAACTTCCCAATGAAACCAATGCACAGTGAAGTGGGCATCAGGGTTTTTCCGAATTACCAGTATACGTACACATTCAGTGATTCCTACACCAAGCGCTTCAAATTTAACAGCACATAACTGCACTTTACTCATTACACAATGCAGGCCAAGAATGAAGAAGCACATTAGGCTGCATACAGTACATGTAAAGTTACCGGTATGTATCATCCTTCTGCATACAGTACAGTCTGGGAATAAGCCCTTTGCCAATTAAATTTTAACAAAATCTGGAGCACTGAGTTCTTTAAATTCACGTGAACATACCAGTATATGTATTAGTACAAGTTCATGTTACAATTCGAATTCTCCATACCGGTACTAAAGACACTGTTGTTACATGTACATACCTCATGACTCGGGGCAAGCTTTCGCTTAGTTACGGTACATGATACCGGTACCGTATGTACATCATGTACATGTACCTGTACATAAGAGATGCCTTGCACCGATACACTGTTTTCAATGGATAAGGAGGGAACAAAGGAACCAGTCCATTCCAGCAATGGTGGTCCCTAGGCAAAAGCTTGTCCCAAATCATGAGGTATAGCAAAAGTGTGTTTAGTCTAGGGAATTCAAATATATTTATGTACAATCAGATACTGGTATAACTCAGTGCACCAGATTTTATTCAAATTTAACTCACGAAAGGCTTATTGGGCACAAACTTGTCCCAGGTACATTGCAAACCTATGTACCGGTCCATGTACTTTATGTATAATGTACTTGCACGTCTACATGTACATTCTCCAGTGTCCAATTCTATATCTTTGTAACAGGAGAAACATCAAGTGATTAAAATCTAGGTTTCCTACATGTTGAGTACAGGTACAATACCACAAATCTGGACATAAAGTAAAACTTCCAGTGTGAAGGCATATACATGTACATGTATATGTACCGGTACATATACATGTACATGTACAATGTATATGTACCGGTACATATACATGTACATGTACAATGTATATGTACCGGTACATATACATGTACATGTACAATGTATATGTACCGGTACATACACATGTACAATGTACATGTGTATGTACCGGTACATGTACATTGTACATGTACATGTATTCAACAAATGAGACTATATGACTAGTAATCTGCAGTGAATATCTCTAACTACTGAAGTTTATCCATTTTATGTGGAGATGCATTCAACTCTCATGGTACATGTGATTCAAAGAAATTATGAGAACATTACAAGGATGTTATAATAATAATAGATAATAATAGATGGCAAGGTCAATGATTGTGGATTTCCCTCTGAAGACATCTGTTAATTTGCACAAATATATACAAGTACATGTACATGTATACGTTTATTAAACCAGTATACATGTACATGTATGTATATCTTCCATAAATTTTGGAATGTCATCACTGGAAAAAGTTTCAGCATTCCCACAAAGTGAAGCATACATGTAGGTGAAGGTTATAAATGCTAAAATTACCTTTTTGATCCGTAAGGGGTCAGTGGAACGTGAACAGATTTGCAGGGCTTACATTACATAAAATAAGTAACAGGACCACTCAGCCAAGGTCAATGATTGACCAACAGTACATTTGTACCTTCAGTGCTTTTTATGGCCAAACAACATGTTTACCACTTCGTGCCAGTGGCAGTTATCAATGTTGATGATGCTGGGGCAGGATAATTATCATTTTTTCAAAATTCTTTCAAAATTCCTATCTTCATTTACATGTACATGTACTGGACATTTACACCCACATTAAGGACTGTCTGGTGGCTCCTACTCTAATCTGCCAGACAACATCTATTGCAATGGAGTATTTGAAAAATAGCCCACATTTTGCGGCGTTACGTAATTTTCTTTTGTTCACGAAACTGGCACAGTGCGCTGCTGACCCCTTTTCAATTTAGATTAGCGTGCAGCGGTACTGTGTGGCTCATCACTGCGGTGGTGGAGCGCTTTTGTCCCCGGTGGTAAACCGCTCATGCTAAATCTCCAAAACAGTGGTTTCAAAACAAGACTGGATTATCTCCACTATTGAGAGTGAAAAAATGTTGGTAAAGCCCAGCAGCCTGGTCTTTTGTTACGAGTACAGTCTTTTGTTACAAGGCCCGTTCCCTTTGTTCGATTTCGGAGACCCCGGCTACGCACAAGTGGCAAGTGGATAATGACGATTAGCGTGGAAGACACTAGCTACCTGGCACACGTACTGGTAGTTGCCTCCACACTAACGGTCATCATCAGTAATTACCATATCATTGTCCAAGGGCATCATCTGAAATCTCAATACAAAATTCAACTGTTCATTTTTCTTGTAACTGTGGATTTCAATTTACCAATTATAGCAACAGATGTGAATTTTTGTACATGTACATGTATGTATGTATATCTGATTTCAACGTTTCGTGCAGACTCGGCTTCAAACAGCATGCATGCAATTTTTTTTATGTTATGGTACTTGATCATGTGAAAATGCATGTGCATTTATAGTTTTTAACTGATATTTGATCACTGGAATGGGCCTACCAGTACACGTACATGTATGCTTACATGTAGGAAAGATTATTTGTGCTACGGGTATTTTGATCAGAAGATGAGAAATGTTAACATCAAATGAAAGTGACTTTCATAAGGGCTTTTCATTTTCACACCATTTGAAGTTTTAATTGAAAATTTGACCTAGCCGTAATCAACAGACAAAGAGGGTCAACCAGAAATGAAAATAATTGCATCCTTGTTGTGGCTGCTTCGGTTTTCAACCTGACATTGCCTGAAGGGAAAAGCAACAAATTTTTGCAAGGGAAAGGCCCCTTATCTCATGCCAGCAAGAGTAGCCTTTGGCTGAAATGTCCATCCTGACCTCTATTTCTGTCATAGTGTTTTGATCACCATCTCCGCCTGGTTTGATTCCCACATTGACTCTGTAGCCCTGGTAACCAACGAAATGGGATCCCTCATCACCTGAAGATTTTTATTCCTCCCATAACCTATACCCCCCTTGGCTCTTTTGGCCAGGATGCATCCTCCCTCCAAAATCCTCCAACTAATCTGCCTCCAGGGAAAAATCGGATACACTCTAATCCTCTAACATCCTGTTGTTTCTTGAATACCGTATGCTCCTTGGAGGGGGTAACCACTGCCTCAATCCTTTAAAATTCAGGTATCTTGGAGCAGTTGTGTGATTTTCATGTATAATCGAGACGTGAATTTATGCACTGCTGAGCACGACAAAATGTCTTACCAATGACCTCAACAATGCATCTCTCACAATCTGTCACTTTTTGGTCATTCATTCTCAATCTTCCAAAATCCTCCAGTACTGCCAAGAAGACTTGGGATGGTTAGGGACTGCCGGTGTTTCCCAGGGGAGATCTCCTATTAATTACATATACCGGTATGTACCGGTACGGTATGTACCCCAGAGAGGAGAAAAATACTGGAGGTGAACACCATCTAGGCTTGTCTGCATTGATGATGAATCATGGCTAAAAATGGGTGAGAGATTCAACAAAGTTCAGTAATCCAATTTCAAATTCTCCAATTTCTTCAAACTTGGGTGGAAATTCACAAACTGAAGGGAAAGTCCCACAGAATAATGAGCTGCGGAAGGACATTGTAAAGTATTAAGAGCTTTCAAAAGACCTGATGACCTGATTGCAAGAACCCAATCAGATCATCACAAACACTGAGCAGACAGGGGGAGCCATTCTCTTAGCCATCTCTGGGATAGGGAAAAATTCCCGGCTGAGAGATGGACCGAGGACTAATCTAATTACACGTACAACTAATTTTTGATTGAATTCCATACTATAAATGTACATGTAAAATGCAAGTCAGAAATTCAGGGGTTTCCTCTACTTAGAAACATGGAATCAAAGTGAGGTACACACTTTATCCTCTTGTACATGTACATGTACTGTATGTACAAAATCTGCATGGCTAATCACAATGCATTCTAATTTTACTGGCCTTATAGAAAAGCAAGGTCATCGTAACTGCAACAAATGTACATGTACATGTACAGTACCATCAGCCATACTGGGAGGGTACCATATGCATGTTAGATGTACATGCCATAACCATAAATCCATAGCAGTTTACCATAACCACAAGGCCATTTCTTGTGGTTACCGTTCTATTTTTTTATTGTCCCTTTTGTCCCATTGTTCCCATGAGTGGAAACCACATGTATTAACATGTTGATTGGGGGCTGCCATGTCAGACATTTGACACATCAAATACCATCCATACTTCTCCCACACAAAATTCAGGAAGACCAGGCTGGCATTGTAGCCCCTTATTGCCTGCACTATCATTGATCCTCCACAGACAGGTACTGTATTCACACTGCCTGCAACTGGACAATTTCTATTGGTACATGTACAGTACATGTATATACTGGCTGATAGTGAGTCATACAATACTGAACCGGTATTGCTTGTTGCCCCTTGTTTATTGCCCTTCAGATAATCGCAGTCAAAAACCAGATTCCCTGAAACTGGGCCCAGGAAGTGGCAGCTAAATACGCCCAGATGGCTTAGTCAAAGGAAAATACCGATCGCGTCTAGTGACAAGTTGACTGCATGCACTCCTGCGGCACATTTTGCATACCTGGGAAATACACAGAAAGTTTCTGATGAGCTCAGAGAGAAGGTGCATGAATTGAACTTGACCATCCCCCCTATTCTCATGAAAGGAGTGAAACATGCAATTGCCATGGCTCCATGCATGACTAGGACATTTTGGAAGATCTGATTAAAGCCGTTTTCCAGTCAGTGTGGAAATTCACAACTGCACCCAGAGCAGTGAAAGAGAATTTGGAGGCTTTACGAGTAACTTGTACATTGTACATGTACCTCAAAGAACGCATGCTAACAATGCACTTCTTGAACAATTTGGCAAAGCTACATGTACATGTGTATATATATATACGGTACTGGTACCTGCACACTTTTGTGCTGATTTCCACAGGACAATACACCTGTTACCTTGAGTGGTCTGCAGGAAGCTCACACAATCTGTTTGGTAATTGTTCCTGGCCAGCTCCAGAGGGGTCAACCGTTTGATGTCCCGGTTTTCTAGATCGGCACCGTACTGGACCAAGAGGCTGGCTATCTTCACTTTCCCATCTTTGGCTGCTACATGCAAGGGTGTCTACCAAAAACAGAACAGGTGGCACATGTATGAGAAGGAGTATAAAAACGTACTGGTAACATACATCAACATTCCAGTAAATTTAATGATGCAGTTACAGCTACATGTAGCTTTCCCAGTGCTGTGGTCATCAAGGATGCAGGTTGCTGTAGATATTGATCTCCAAATCTCCTGAGGCAGCTACATGTGCTGGTACAAAGGAAAAACAGCATTTTTAAGAACCAAAACACATTCATGCACAGTATATACCGGAACTCATATTAAAATAAGTGAAGTCCCCCATTTCGTATGGGACCCTGAAAGTCTTAATCACTTTCATGTCCATACTTGTTTTCTGCACACAGTGCAATGTGTATCCATCTAGTATACAGAGATATATAAAAAGAATGACATTCATAATGTACACATACATACATGTACATTTAAACTCTTCATTTTGGGATACACAGTACAGGTACATGTATACTGCATGCTTGGCATATTCTACTATATTTACAAGATATTCTGCAGGTGAAAATTGTATTGGTACACGTGTATTTCAAAGGTGACTTGTACATCAAGTTGATTTTGAAATGGATAGCTCAATTTTCCAACAACATGATAAAAAGTGTATTCTTGAGATCGATTATTCCCAGAGGCCTAATTTGTAAAGTGACACAAGTGTCCTTCCTCCAAGGTTCAACAAGCCAAACAGTGAGGCTCCATAGAAGTATTTGTAACAATGTACCTGTATGGCCACAAATCTCTCTAATCCACATCCCCTGCTGTGATAAGCTTGATTAGCATGCCAGTGGCAACATGGAACCTAATTGTATGATCATGTGCTTTTCCCACCTACACAAAGGGCAAGGCCACCGACTTCCCTTTGAAAAGATGTGAAACTCGGTCCAAATACCTAGGCGCTGCTAAGTCAGAGGAACTTTTGTTACATGTATTAGAATATAACCTCAAAGCTAAGGTACATGTACATACATGTATGAACGTCAACAAATTTATGCACACTCGATGTACATTGTACATGTGTAGTATACAGGAGTGTGAGTGCCCAGTTACATGTACATGTATGTACATGTATAATATGTAAAATCAAAGTCAAAAACTGTGCTAGCAAAAAGCTGAAAAGTAAAAAGTTCCAAACTTGGACAGACCAGGTGCACAAAAAAGCTGCGATTCGGGGACAACATCCAAAACAACAAAAAAGCTGAAATCAGTTAAAAAGCTGAATTCTCAAATCCTTGTGTACATGTGATGTTGTGCAACTGGGTGCTAAAGTGTGGAAGCTTTCTGCAAACCAAGCTCAACTTTTCAAGGGAAGTTCAAAATTTGGACATGCAGGCAAAAATTACCACAAGGGTTTCGCAAACAGGGAAAATAAGGCTACAATAATTGTGTCCGGTGACATAAAAAAAAATCTTGCCATGAGGCTGGCTATGTTTGATGATTCAGGTCACAGACAATAGTGTACCGGTAAGTCTTACTTTTGTAATGAATGAAGAGGTCTGGAAAATCAATAAACTTGTCAAAAAATGAACTTGAATATCTGTGTAAAGATATCAAACTGACTAAATGAGATACATGTACAGTGTATATATACTGTACAGGCAGTGCCTTCGATTCGGTAACTTTCATATTCGAATCAAAATGACCTCAAATCTGAAAGCAACAAATTAACAACCGTACACCTGGCATGCATGTGATATTGTGCAGCTGAAGCCTGGGGTACTCAAGTGTGGAAACTTTGGAAAGTTTACAGGACATTCCATGGAAAATTACTTTGACACAGGAAATTTACTTGTGCCTTACATGTATATTAAAGTAAGGAGTTCTCCACTTTGTGGAAAATTCGCAAAAATTGCAGATTTTGGGGTAGAAAGCGGAAAATGCAATCCTTGGTAAAAATAAATAAATCAAATATTTTTGATCGTTTCTGCACAATTAATCAAATAAATATGAACCCAAATTAGGAACGACAACTCATTTTCACTGTTTAACTCACTTTGAAAGTAACATTTGGTTGCGTTTCCCTTCCTGTTTTTCCTTTGCAATATTGCAGAAATTGGTATTAATTTCCTCTGGCTCCACATCGCGGAGAGTACACTCGTCCCAGAATTAGTTCAGAAAAAGTTGAAAACATTGCAGAGTATTTCAATACTGGTTTCTTTTGTTTTCCTGTTTCTTCTCTTTTTTGGGGGGGGGGAGAATATGGTTGGGCAAATAGTTTCCATGCATACAGTAGCTTAAAACTAGGTCTCCTATTTCATGCTTACTGAGGTATGGAACAGAATTTGAATTTCTGAAGCGGAATTGGGATTTGGTGAAACAGAAAATACCCATTTTTGAAATGGAAAATCATTGGCTCAAGTGTAAAAACAATTAATAAAGAATACCTGAGCATGAAGGCTATGGTCAAAAGTAATGGTAATTCTGAAGCCAAACTTAAACTGAGCAACTTACATAGTAATTGTACCTCTCAGCAGCAGCAATGTTAGGATCTGCTCCAGCCTCAAGAAGCAACCTGACACACTCAATGCTCTCCTCTCTCTCTGACACCTCGGCAGCGCAGACGGCATGCAAGGCCGTCCGTCCAAACGAGTCCCTCTCATTAATGTAACGCCGCTGTTCCCACTTCAGAAGGTCCTCCAGCAAAGCAAAGTTTGAATAGATGGCCGCCTGGTGAAGCAGCTTGCCCTGGAAGTCCCGGTGCTCTGTGAGACTGAGATCCACATCCCCCGAGTTCCCTAGGGCTGCTGCCGTGGTGCTGCCCCCATCGCTGCCCGGCAACAAGTTCTTGGCCACACCCACCATGGTGGTCAGCCCATTGTTGGCATCGATATCAAGAGGTTCAGAGGAAGACTTGTCTGAGAAGAAAAAGAGGTGTGACAGACCCTCTAAGATGACTTGCACTGTACTTTGGTGAGGTTCCATTCCTGCTGACAGCATACATGTACATATACCAGTAAGTACAATGTACCCAAATGTACCCAGCAGCACATCACAGTGAATGTCAGTGTGCAGTACTTCAGTCAAAACAACTGATCAAATGCAATGTCAATAACCACCTACGTACATGTACATACATGTACAAGTGGAGGTGGGGGGTGCGTACATGTGCCGCCACCAATAAGCACACAGTTCACACACACACACTGATAGCTCTCACCATGTGCACTTAGCAACGCACGTGCAGTGCAAGGTCTAAGCAGTAAACTGGACATCATTCAATGCAGAAAGTGGTTTTCAGTCCGAAGCATACAGTACATTGCACACAACACAAATATCCGTGTACGTGTACAAAAAGAACATTGGTACTGAATAAGATATCTGATCCTGGATAGTCAACATCCTGCCATACCACAGGGGAAATGTAGAAATAATTTGCTCATCACGAGAGAAATTCAGGAAAGTACATGTATGAAGCTCGGACTACGCATGTGCTGTATAGCATATAACAAACAGTATTCATCTTTTATATGCCCACAAGGGGCTCACTGCATCATACCGGTACTTTGGTCGGAAACAATTTGACCATTCTTTTCCTCATTTTGCAATTTTAACCTTTGATGTGCAGGTACTTCCCTGATCCCCACTGACTGTATGCTGGTCTCGCACTCCTTCCTCAACTAATTCATCCTGCTTTATTTAATCACAAACAGCTATTTCCCCATCATTAATCATCTCTGGTACTACACATACATGTAATTCAACAACTGAAACTTGCCATTTATTCTGAATCAACCACAAAACTGATTTGCAACTCGACACTTGACAAATGATTTCACAGCGATGGCTATTAAGCAGATGATGTAGTTTCAGTTTATTAACCAAGGTGTGTCAAGCATCTCTAATATACCCTACACAAATTGCAAAATTCTGAAGTTACATGTACATGCATCTCATAAAAGGTGCTAAAAGCAGCTACAAGTAAAGTATATGTACATGTACATGTATGGTACTTTTTTTTTGCTCAATTTCTTAGCTTGCTTGAAATCAAGTTTATTCTAGCTTGTGGCCAAACAATTTCGGGGTAATTTGGTTAATTTTGTGAAACTACAGTATTTCTTTCCTTTTCTGTAGATCTACATGTATTTTTGGTTACTGTGATACTGAAATAAGTTTCACTACCGATGTCTTTTCTCCTCTGTTCAACTGTCATATGCCCAATCATTATGAAACTTGGCATGCAAGTACAGACACTCATTATCAGTCAAATGTGAAGTTCCAATTCATATGACAGAGGGTTCTGATGTAATGGTTATTTGAAGTTCCGGAACTCATGCCAGTTGACCTACATGTACACATACCGAACCGTACAGTACATGTACGTGCGGTGAGCTTGTCAATGGAGGACGGGTGTTACGCTGGCCCATCTTGGAAAAAAGCGCACTGTGTGAGAGAGCAATGTCCGATTCTCACAAAATGGGCATCAAGCTGAGTGCCGCAAGATGTTACTGCAAAAACTCCTGAAGGCTCAGTGCATGCACCTCAGTGTAATGTAAGGAAGCTGCCAGCTGAAGCAGCTCCATCCATTTCCTACAGACTCATCCACACTATTTTCATTTACAGCCAAATACATACCAAGCTACATGTAAGCAATGATCTCACCATGAAACGAAGACTGGTCCTCTGCCACTGCTAAATACAATCGGAGCATTTGCCACATCGGTTCCAACTCCATCATTAATCCACACTCAAATTGTTCTACTCTCCAAAGACAGCATTTCAGGCAGTTTTTACAGAATGTTGGAGGCGCACAGATGAGAATCTCATTGAGGGCATGACTGCTCACACAAGTACCAGTGAACGGATACTTTGCTGTACATACAGGAAGTTTAAGGGTACATGTACATCATGTACAGTACCTGTACATGTACATGTATGTACTACGGAGAACTGTACATGCATGCACCGGTACGTGTACAAGTACCAATACAAAGTATCAATTACAATGATACATATATGTCTTTGGCTGGACTGACCAGTTCCAATATGAAAGCACTTTCTCACGGCAGGAGATAAGCATAAAGGGATCCAGAGATCGATGGCGATGTTCACAATTCTTCATCAGCTCACTGTGAGCTTACAATTCCCTTCTCCTCTGAGGCTTATGTACATGTATGCAGCAAGGCACGTTAGATGCAATGTACTCAGCATTCAAGATTATGACATACATGTACATGTACATAATGCACCTTGCAGATATGGCTCAGGCATACGAATGCTGCAACCGTTGGATAAACTCTGCATAGACTGCAAATGCTGTACCCAGTATGTACAGGTACGTGTAGGTGCACTTGTACACCTGTTTAATTGACCATTAAACCTGCATTTGGCTCCTCAAACTACAGTAGTAGTGTCGATGGTAATGTGTGACATCACATTCAAACAAGACAAGGTCACATTTCTTCGTGGAAATTTCCATGGAAATTTTCACCAACTCAATCACCAAATTACTGCGAAAAGTTGTTAAACAGCTTTTGGCCACAAACTTATAGTTAATTACGTCATGAACAACCGGTATTTAATAAAATTACTGGCGACCGGCATCATCACAGTCACGAGGATTTAATGATGTGGAAAATGGTTGAAACTTACAGGTAGTACAATAAACATCAAGTCTCGTGCATGTGAACACCAACTGATCAACAGGTAAGCACGTGCAAGTGACTATGTTCAGTTTGGCCTTCATACATGTACCTGTACGTGTACCGGTACATGTACATGTATGTACCGGTACCGGCACATTTCATGCCAAAGAACAATTCGCTTACACTGGCCTTGTCTGAATTTCTTGGCTAAGGCTTGAAAACATGAGACGTGGCTGCAGCCAACATCATAGACTCCTGTGTAAATTCGAGACGCAGCTAAGCAATTTGAACACAGCTATTTTCAAAGTTACCCAGTAGCATAAAATTTTGGGCTTTTCAACAACTAGTGCTCTGGCTAATGACTTGGCATACTGTACTGACCCAGGTGCTGATTGATTTGAAGGTACAAACCAAGATGCAACAAGTGTATCAGAAAAAACAAACTGTGATCTGGCTGAAGTAGTCTGAAAATTAATATATTTTTTCGCCAATGCTGCTCAACGGGCCTAATTGAAAGAGTGAAGCAATTCACAGAAAAAATTGGTCAAGTTATTACCGAAGTATTTCCTTCCAAAGTTGCTTAAAATCGTCCCGACTGAGCATCTACCCAGTAAGTGCCGTGAGTTGCATACCTCATCCAGTTGACGCAGCTCTAACTATAGGTAGTATCCATTTCCACTGTAAGTAAGGTGCGGTCAAAGTAACATGCAGAACACAGCAGGCATGTACTGGTGGCTGCTTGCACCTGTGCGTGTCCCTCCTGCCAAAAAGAACATATTCCTGTGAGGAGGCAGTTAATACTGAACTGACACCCCACGAGATGACTCACCATGTGGGGCAGTCTGCAAGGAAACTTACCAACACATGTTCATGGACATGTACGTGCGTACTGCTTTGGCAACTCAGTCACCAGGATTGCATTTTCTTCATGAAGTAATTTTTTTCTAACAATAAAACAATTTTTACACCCAAGCTTTCATTCTTAACTTCTCAACAGTTAAATTCTCCCAGCAAGGCACACAGGTCGTACAATCTTCTTACCGTACCAATACTTGTCATTCATACAATCGATCCATACCAAAATCCACTTTACCGACCTTTCATGCCCATGTGCATTAAAGGACAGGAACACCATAATGATACCGGAGTTAGTAATGAATAGAAAAACCGGCTGCACAGGAAGCTTTGATAAAGTCACTGCGCCAGGGTAAACCAACAGCAATACCACATACGTACGTGTGCATACATGCGTACACTTCAAATGACTGACCAGGGGCGGGGATGCATGTTTGGGGGGAGAATTAAAAGACAAACCTGTAATATACAGTACATGTACCTCAAGTTTTGATTTGGGGTTGTGGTAATGACCAACTTTCTGATGTCATGAGAGATATCTGTCAAGTCCTGCCAGGCTCCCCACGCACTTTTGTCCAATACTTGAACTTTCAATTTACATGTAGTTACATGTAAATATAGGAATGACTAATCTCTGATTGTTCTCATTTGTGCTCAGAGATTAATACCCTAGGGACACCCTTCTTAGTTTTTTTTCTTTCCCTTTTAGTAGGACGGGCGGAAGAGAGATTGGGTTCCACATGAGTTTGTTTTTGCAGACAAAGAACAAAGTACAGGGACCATTAAAAATGCACAGCTCCAGGCACTTTTGAGATCAAAAGTATTATTCATGTAAACAAAAACGATGGAAGCTTTATCAACTTAATCAAAAGTTCCAGGAATTCTGACGCATGTAGTGACTTAAGTACATGTACCTGTGCTTGACTTTTGTGCTTGACTGATAACTTTTTGGTGCATTTTTGTGGGGGCGCGTTGTCCATAGATGACGAATGCCATTATTTAATTTTGTTGTGAGCTACATCTATTACTATCACAAGAGCTAATACACTCTACACATGTACTGTATGTACATTACATAGGCCTACATGCAAATTTTACAATTCAGGCAGTAATCTTTCCATTCCATTTTTCCTAGCTTTTAAGGTTGCAAATTAAGACACAGTGGGAAACTTACTGGTAATTGAATATTTTTATTTATAACATGTACAATGTACATGTATATGGCAGGAACAATCTCTGTAATTTTTGCTGAATAGCTACACTTTGCCTGAAACGCAATGTAAGATATACTTGCAGTTCTGAAATTCAGCAAAAATTACAGAGATTGTTCCCGCCCGAGCCTGGTGACACGGAACAGCAACACATATCAGCAAAAGTTCCGGTACTATGGCAATCAGCATTTGTCAGCAATTGTTCCTGGTGCAGGTACTTTGCCTGCAGTACATTTTAATTAAGCACTTCTAGTAATAAACCCACTTGAGGATTCCTCAAACATGTCAAACTTGTGTGTCCTAGTCACTGTAAATGTACCAGTAGCTCAAAAGCCATAAAAACTTGTAGAGAGGAAGCGATGAGAAGCAAGTGCAGTGGGAAATAAACCCCAGAGGAATATTCCATGTAAAACCCAGTGAATGGGGACAGGGACTGAGAAACCATTTACATGTACAGATAATGGTACATGTGGACCGGGACGGGAATCGAACCTGAGCCAGAGACGAACAGCGAGGAAAAAACCACTACACAAACCAGACTTGCATGTACATGTACATGTACATGTAGAGTATCTGACATACATGTACATGCATGTGGATAAAAATGCAGAAATTTAACTTACGGATACATTTACCATACATAGTCAAATTCTATCCGCCCCGAGATGAAGTGCACCCCCAAGCGGCAAAAGAAAGACAGATGGTAGTAAGTTTTCCAAGCGAATTCTTGTACGCGTTCTGCATGTACCGGGTAGATGTACGCAGAGACCATACGGTACATTAACGAATAAATTTGTTGCGCATAAGAATTCAGCGTGCTCCGTGTCAAACCACGTTGTACCTGTACAAAAATTGTTCATTACTTGCATGTAACGCTGACGCTGATGAAAGATCCACATGCCCTTGGCTTTTTACAAAAATCTCTGCAATCTAAGTTACCCCCTGTCTATTTGTGGGGAAGTTGAAAAGCCTTTCTTTGCAAAAAACAAAAGTAGATTAGCAACCAAGTACATGTATGAGGAAATCACGTTCATTACAGGAAACATGTTAACATGTGACACTGACAGACACATGACAGTATTTTGTTTATACTGTATCTACATGTATATCAAACTGGTCTGGCAGCCAAGATACTTGTAACTGGATAATAAAAGGTTTGAATCGCAACTGTACATGCAGAGTGTGCGTTTCCAGCATTCAGCGTGAAAGTACTGACTACTACATGTACGTGTAGCTACTTGGTACATGTATGTATACATATACATGTATGTCCAGGGCCAGATGGGCAATATTTGAGATCGTATTGATTATCGTATTGAGACGTATCAAATACATGTACATATATTTATTGATCATGTACCGGGTCCCACATCAAGTCTACCGGTACTATTGTTTACATGTACATGTGTACATGTACCGGTATGTCACATTCTGTAATGGAATTTGTGCACATGCTGTACTTGTAATGTGTACAAGTACATGCTCGATTTGATGCATAGGAGTACAACAGGTGACCAGTCAAGTGGGACATGGACATACATAGACATACTTGTACATACCGGCCGGGAACATGCATTTTTGTCAGCACGTATGCCGGGTACTGTAGAATTGGCTCTGCTACTGTCATGCATTCAACTCGGACTTTGACAAAAACAAGGAAATTCCAATCTTTACAAGGCTTTGTACAGTGTTCTTCAATTTTCAGTGGCATAAGCACGAGGTGAAAAACAAGGAAATCAGCTGATCTGAGGAAACGTTGCAGGCCTGTACTGTACACACATGAAACTTTGCCATCTACTGGGTAATAAGTAGCCACAGGCACTCCTATCACGGGCATGTACTGGTACCACATGGATGCAGGCTTAATTGTACAGTATTTGAGTCATCAAACAGAGTCCGAGTCAAAGCCCGAGTCAACTTTATTTTTGTATTGGAAAAATATTTTCAGGTTGCAGGAATGAAACTTCTTTTTTCCTCAATTTTTTTCTCCTGCAGAATTTGCATTCTGCACTAGATCTTCCGATTGCATTTCTCTTAAAATCTGTAAACCCAAAATTGACTACTTTTGGAATGGATGCCATGACCAATCTTCATGCTTTCACATTTGCACAGACTGTGCGGATGTCAGATTGTCAGACCCATAACCAGCAGGAACTGCAATTCTTAGAACAGCAATACACATCACTCAAAGCTGTTGCTTTGCAGGGCAGTCTGCATCCGACATGAATAGTCCAAAACCAAATACATTATGGTGTAGTTTGGACGGGTTACATGGGACATGGATGTCACTCATCAACATATCGCCAACAACAAATGCACCGCAGTAGTCGCATGATAAGGCACTTTTTTGTCCAGTGAAAAAAATATTGCATTAATTCACAAGTCATGCAGATCGAGTCCGAGTCTGCAGCAAAAAGTCGGAGTCATTTGTCACAGTACATGCAACTCAAATCCGAGTCCAAATCACTAAAAATGAGTCTGACTCTAGTCCGAGTTACGAGTCATACATGAACAAGTCTGCATGTACATGTATGATATCGGGTTCATGCACCTGGGCAACTGATGCCCTGATTTGATCAATTACATGTGTACAAATGTACACATACATGCTACTGGACAACTGTAACACTTGATAAAAACGATGTGGTCAAGGTTCATTTGAAGTAAGATACCGACCAGTCCTGGTACTTCTGCATGTACAGTATTTATAGGATTTTTCACCGTGAGTCATCGTCACAATATTCCAATATTTACTCAAACACTTCAAAATGCTTTAACAATCCACTTGAAATTTTGGCGCCAATTCTCTCTGTTAGTTTTGCAGGTCTGGGCAGCCTGCATGCTCCTGAATGTGTACATGTACATACAGGTACATGTACATATACATGTGTACGTGTTAGGGATTTTATTGCAATCATGTACATGTAGATCTGTGAATACCAGTGCATGTACATGTACATGTATATAACCATCCACTCTGAGTAGAAACGAGAGGGCATTTTTTAAATAACAAGGATGCTCCTTTGGTGGGAATTTAAAATTGTGTAAGCCTGTGCAGGTTCTCGTGAATTTGGCCGAGGGTGTGCTGAGCAAGCGCAACCAGTTTCGTACTACACATGCACAAGGCCCACAGACAAACTACCCACCGACCTGTCTCTGTTTCACTGGTGAGTGTGCATTTCAACTCAAGGCAGATGATTCAACAAGAATGACTACAATAGATACTAAATCTTCACTCTTGAAATGAACATCCCGTGCAATGCCCCTTCCCAGACTTTTGCAAACAATCACAAAGATATGACAAAATCTGGCTAACTTTACTCACTCTTCAGCAAACAAAATCAGTGAAAAGATTTCCCAGACAGACTGAGCTCTTAAGAAATTCAAGCAGAGTTTAAGGACTCCAATAAATTTTGTAGACTTTCCTTCGCATTCCACAAATACATGTACCAGTGTTTCAGAGAGAAGCCAGCTGGT